GTGTTTAGCCAAAGCATGTGATTTCCTAACATTCCCGGCTGCCAGCAAAGCTGCTCGTTCTCTTGTACACCAGTGTTACAACAAAAAAGGAGCATTAAAGGCATTTGCTTGAGTTGTGCATTTTTCCAGTGCTATTTCCACCACTGTGCTGTTTATATCGACATAATAAGATGTTATACAGTATATTATTATGCTGCACAGAAGGGCAATTAGGGGCATTATCCCTATTTTCTCTTGTGGGTTTTCTAAGTAACAAGAGCGCATGAAACCGGTGTAAAAGAAATTACAAGTCAGAGTATCTCTTTGTTTACAAGAAAGATGTGAATGTTGTGTTATTAGTTTGTTGGTCTCTGTGCTTGACATGGGGGTTGGGAAAGGCACAGAAGAAATAAATAACAGCTCTCAGGCTTTAAAACTGTACTGATGTATTGATAATAGCATGAGCTGCCAACTATTAATTAAAACACTGTGGGCATTTTACACAACGGCACTGTCTGCTGAGTAGAATAGAGAGCAATCCCTGTTGAGACAGCAGTATATTTACTATAAACAGTCAATTGTCAGTGAATAACAGCAGTTACAGTCTGTGGGATTGTGGGTCTACACCCATGTACGTGTTGTAGTTAATGGATTTGGTTGCAAAGTCAGTGTGTTTTGTAAACTGTAAAATCCAAACATGTGTGTGTGTTCTTGTACTTGCTAAATACTGAGGACCAAAAAAGTATTTGTTTTTCTACAGAGCTGGGACATTTGGTTTTAGGGTTCAGGTTAGAGTTGGGTTTAGGTTAGGCTTAGGTGAAGGGTGAAGCTTAGGCAATTAATTTTTAGGGTAAGAGGCTAGGGAATGTGTCCTTACAAAGATACAAGTACAAATATGTGTGTGTGTGATTGTACAATAGGTCACGTCACAGTGATATATAGTCATGTATCTTGTGTACTGGGTTGTTATCAGGCGGGAGTCGTGGGACAACTCGGCTGTGCTGCCGTCCTCCTTTCTGTGTGCAGGGATGTTGGAGGAGGGGCCTGCTGTGATTAAAAGCAGATTGGAGCATTTCCTGTTGTAGCGTGCTAACTTCACCAAGTTCTCTCTCTCTCTCTCTCTCCCCATGTGTGTGCCACCTCTTCTCTGCTCCTTCCCCCATCATTTTACAACCACTCATTCTCTACGTGTAGACACAATACCTGGGCACATCTGGAGAAATTTGAATTAAATATAAATCATGGTTGTACTTCTGTTGAATTGGTTTTCACTTGTTATTTAACAGTTTGGAGCTCAGTGTCCAGATGTATACAGTCTTTTGCTTATTTTATGATCTGCTCTTGATGTCAGAAAATAGTGCAGGTTGCACACCTGAACACATCATGAGAATGAATACGTAGTCACAAAGCAAAGAAATACTCTGGAAGCACTGGATTAAATGACATCTAAATATCTGTATGGTCAGGCTGAGGGGGACCGTCTGCCTCCAGGCCACACAGTGAGCCAGCTGGAGACCTGCAAAATCCGAAGCATCCGTGCTGGAACACTAGAGCGTCTGGTGGAGACTTTATTGATGGCATTTGGAGACAACGACCTCACCTACACCTCCATATTCTTGTCGACCTACAGGGCCTTCACCAGCACACAGATTGTACTGCAGCTACTGCTAGACAGGTAGAGGTGGAGTGGAGTGTTTTACAAACCCAAAATAATGCATGGACTGGAGGTTGTAGTGATTTTTAATCCATTTTCTTACCCTCTGCTGAAGATATGGAAATTTAGAAGAAAATGAACATGACACAGACAAATGCCAAAGCCCTGAAAACAATGGAGCCATCAGAAAGTAAGACATACTTTTATATGTACAGTATATCTATCAATTCCATATAAATAGCTTTATCCTGTTACTAATTAACTTTTTACTGCTACTTTTAGTGTGTCTGATTTATGACACCTGTACTTTTTCAGTGCCAGCTCTAGTTTTAACACAGGTGTTGTCCTCCTGTGTTTACAGTGTCTTGGCCTCCATCCTGCGTGCCTGGCTGGACCAGTGTCCTGAAGACTTCCAGGAGCCTCCAGACTACCCCTGTCTTCACAGGCTGATGGACTACCTGCGCAGGGCCCTGCCCAGCTCAGAGGCTCTTAGAAAGGCAGAGGGTCTGCTGGAGCAGCTGAAAAGTCTTGCCAACATGGACGAGACTGATGGTAACAACAAATTGTCTTTTAAAAGTTAACATATATTTTTATATTCTCTACAGAACCGTTTATATCTTAAGTGTCAACTTTCAAATCAACTCCATCTGTTATCAGCTGGTTTTCATGGCAACGGTTCTTTCTGCTTGGGGGAAGACGAGGAAGTGGAGATCGAGGTCCAGGAGGACTTCCTGTCATTTGACACCGACCTGGTGGCCGAGCAGCTGACCTACATGGATGCAGTAAGTGGAGGATTGGCAGCATGTGTGTTGTGTAGGGGGTGAGGTTACACAGGCTCCATCCCTGCGATGATCCTTCTGTATGGTCAACCTAACTTCAGCTTGCTCTTCTTCTCCAGCTTCTCTTTAAAAAGGTGGTACCGCACCACTGCCTGGGCTCTATTTGGTCGCAGAGGGATAAGAAGCACAACAAGCACAGTGCCCCCACCATTCGCGCCACCATCACTCAGTTCAATGCTGTGGCGGCCTGCGTGGTCAGCACAGTGCTGAAACACAGGCAGATCAGACCTCATGTCAGAGCGCGGGTCATCCAACGCTGGATAGACATCGCTCAGGTGGGCAGAAACACATAGACAAATTCACATATTACTATATAAAATCTTTAAAAAATATGAGCAAAGTGGTGACTGACTTTTTCATTTATTCATTTTCTCTTCGAACAGGAGTGTCGAATACGCAAAAACTTCTCGTCTTTGCGAGCCATTGTGTCTGCGCTGCAGTCCAATCCTCTGTACAGGCTGAAAAGGGCGTGGGCCTGTGTGCACAAGTAAGCCTGTGGTCTCTCAGCTGTGCAGATAGTCTCAGCAGATTTCAACTGAATCTCTTAAATGTTTACTTTGAGTCTGTATTTTAGCTCCTATGTTCGGTACCATAACTGAACACCAATCTGTGCTTGATGCAGAGACAGCATGCAGACATTTGAGGAACTGTCTGACATTTTCTCAGACCACAACAACTACCTGACCAGCAGAGAGCTACTCATGAGGGTGAGCTCCACTCTAACTTTATCATCCATTTCATATTTGATGGGGTGGATGAAAACACTGGAAAAATCCCAGTTAAAATGTATGTAGATGTTGCTTATTCTCACAGACCTGAGACTTGATCTGGAAACTTTTTTGATCCTTACTCAGGCACCAAAGTTTTTTTTTTTGTTTGCCCTGTAGGAGGGTACGTCAAAGTTTGCCAGTCTGGAGAGTTGTGCCAAGGAGCACCAGAAACGCACCCACAAGAGACTACAGCTGCAGAAGGAAATGGTGAGACAAAGACTGGCTAACTAAGAGATTTGACAACAAATGTCAGACAAACTGATATTTTCAAAGACAGGTCTTTAAAATTTTAAACAGCACATTCCTCCAAGGCAGTGTGCTGTAAAGTGACTTCCAGCCTTTCCAGTATGATTAAGCCACATGCTTAGGTTTGTTTACTCCGTGCAGAATGTGATGTACTTGCACTAAGCCTGTGTTATGTTTTACAAACTCGCCTTGTCATTGGCGAAGACCACAGTGCAAATAAATCTCTGGCTTTACTGTGGGATCTTTACTTAATTGTTAGTATAATCGAAAAACTTTTTTCTCCACAGGGAGCAATGCAAGGAACGATACCATACTTGGGGACTTTTCTAACCGACCTGACCATGCTGGATACAGCGCTGCCTGATCTTGTTGAGGTAAGAAAAAAGTCCTTAACACCTGCTGGATGTGTGTATATGTGTGCACTTGGGTATGTGTTTCAATAATTGAGAGCATGTTTCTGCGAGTTTACACAGCTCTTCAGATCAGAAAGTCTATCTGTGTAACTGCTGTCAGAAACTGGGGCACAAGTTTCCCTGAGTGCTTGAAGAATTTTCGGAGTGATCCACCTAATGTGGTTTGTCTAAGCAGTTTGTCTGGTATGTGATGTTCAGGGTCTGACAGTGTGCTCCTTGTGTCCTCTGCAGGGTGGCCTGATCAACTTTGAAAAGAGACGCAGGGTGAGTGTAGCACAGTCAGCGACCTCTGACACATGATGGGCCTGATGAAGTTAGACAAGTCTAATGTTGGTGATGTCCTCACTGTCTCTGTAGGAGTTTGAGGTGATAGCTCAGATCAAACTGCTCCAGTCGGCCTGTAACAGCTACTGTCTGACTCCAGACCCAGCTTTTCTTCGCTGGTTTAAAAGCCAGTCTCAGCTCAGTGAGGAGGAAAGGTACAGCTGCTTTACTGAGAATGCCTTCTGTCTTGATTTCACCATTATCCATTACATAAACAAGCAAATTAGTGCATGATATCATGGTCTACTGGATCTACTGTTCATCAGCGCACAACGGAAGCTTCTTTCTTGCCTTTCTCCTCACTTCTCCCCACTGTTCCTGTGCCATGTCTTTGCTCTCTGCTGATCTGTTGTGGAATTATGTTGTTTTTTTCTGTGAGCTCTTTTTCTCCCAACTTCTCTTGCCCTCTTTTGACTTTCTGTTTTGTTCTCCCTTGCTCAGAATTCATGGTTCTTAAAGCCACTGAGCACATGATTTGGTAATGTTTTATGAAGTTTATTATTAATGGTCTTTCTTGCAGCTATGCCTTGTCCTGTGAGATTGAAGGGCTTGGAGACAGCAGTCCAACTTTGCCCAAACCTCGAAAAAGCATGGTGAAGAGACTCAGCCTGTGAGTACATGCAGAAAATACATGTTAATAGGAGGAGGGTCTAGTTTCAAATATCCTTGAAAGTGTTTGGATTAAGTCTAAAAATACTTTCATTGATTTGGACATGCCATACTGGATATGTTACATTGTCATATTCAAGAACAACATTGTAATATTGATTTTATTGTCGATTCAGTGACTGTCTTTATTTTCCAGCCTGTTTCTTGGAACAGACAATAATACAGCCAGTTCTCCAGTCAGAGAGACGCCACGGTCGCCTCCTACTGGCAGCTCAAGGGAGAGCATGGACTCAGTCAGCGTGTCCTCCAGTGACTCCAGCAGCCCCTCAGACAATGAGGGGCTCACCTCCCCTACTCACACCTCTGACTCTCAGCAAAACAAGGTGGGTCATGACACTAAAAGGTTTATTCTTTCGTCATACTTGGGGAATGTATGAAAATGTATGGTGTGGGTTAGGGATCAAAATCACATAAAGGAAGTGAAATTAGCAGTTGCCAGAATTATGGCAAACATAACAAAATTATGCACAAGCTACTGCTTCCCTAATATTTAAGATATTTAAAATTGTACCAAGAGCTATTAACATTTTGATACATTTAATTAGTTCTACTTTGAGATGCAGAATAAAGTCAAGGGAGGACAATGGGTTAGTAAAAAAGTATACACTCAGATAATGTCAAGACAACAAACTAAGTTTGTCAGGACTGACATAGTGATCCTACCACCTGTAGTCCTAGTTCCATGGTACAGTCACAATTATTACTCTAAATGGCAGAACACGCATTTATGACAAGTTTAATACATGTAAATACATTTTTTTTATCAATGTATTACTTCTTTTTACAATAAATTACAATAGTGAAGGATTATTAAAATCAAAATCCTCAAAAACATACATTACCTTCTCTTAGGCAAAAAGAAAAAAATACATACAACTCTTTCTGGACTCCTACCTTCTAATGGTTAAGTATTGATATAAAAATCTGTCCCATGAACTTAGTAGGTGTTACAATACTTACAAGTCTTGTTAAATCATTTCTCAAATAGCTGCAAAATAAATATCAGGTTATCAAAGGTTCAGTGCTTTTGTGGATGAAAATGATCTGTTATGGTTGCATCTATCTGCATGTGACTTTTTTGTCTTTCCTCAGTTATCGGAATCCTCCTCTTGTAATTCACTCCACTCCATGGACACCAGCTCGTCAACAGCCAGTGTCACCATGAATTCCACGTCTCCTTCCTTCCCCGGGGCCCTCTGCACCCACATGCGCTCTCTGTCCCTCACTCCCGTGTCCTCTAGTTCCCCAAGCCAAACCCCAGTGTACAACATCCAGACCCAGGATGCATGCATCATAAGAGTCAGTCTGGAACACGGTAATGGGAATCTCTACAAGAGCATACTGGTAAATAAATATTTGTGTTTGTGTTCATGTGTAAGCTACATATTTTTGCACCATTTATGTTAAACCCTGTATGACTTCATTTCCTTTCTATGTCCCAAATAGCTCACCAATCAAGACAAGACTCCGGCAGTAATTTCCAGAGCCATGGCGAAGCACAACCTGGAGGTGGAGCCTGATGAGGGATACGAGCTGGTACAAGTCATCTCTGAGGAGAGAGGTAAAACATGGCTCTGCTTTTAATTTGAGGCTCATTGATATTTTTCCCACACAAGATCATCTGACATCTTTGAAGGTTTCAGTGGATCATTTTCTGTGCACTCCCATTACTCAGAACTAAACTTTTTCAGTCAGAGGTTTTGAGCTAAACGTTGTGCTCTGTGTGAAGTGTTGTGCTGATTTGCCTCAAGTGATATTTTTCATAGACAGCATAATTCCAAAGCAGAGTAACAAAATACAGAAAGCAGAAGTTGGTACAGTAGTTACTACTGTATATACTAAACACTATGACAAAAAAACCTATGTATTGCTGACTCAGAGCATAACAGCACCACGTGGACCTTATAACTGGTGATGGTCTTTGTCTCTTTCAGAACTGGTGATCCCAGACAACGCCAATGTCTTTTATGCCATGAACACCTCCGTGAATTTTGACTTCCTGCTGCGGGTGCGAGGCTCAGTGGGCCGACCTGTCCAGCTACGAAGCCGGTGTAGCACCACGCTCCCTCGTACCCAGTACCGCTCAAGCCTCTCGCTTAGACTCAGTAAAGTCACACTGTGACCCTGGAGTGTTGTGACCCAGCAGTTTGCTCTTGTACCACTAACCAGCACTAAAGAGGGCATAAAGTGGATGGATACATTGGACTTGTGGAAGATAACTGGATTCAAGAAACAATAGATGGATCCTAATGAACTGTCAGACTTTTAAAGCGCTCTACTTTGATCTTCTTTTGCCAGGCAAGTTTTCCTGAACTGTGCCAACCCTTTGCCCAGCCTTAGTATGGAACATGAATGTGTACACTAGGTGTCTACTGTGCCAGTGATGCCTGTGACAGAGTGAACCAGGGACCCCAAGTGGCCTCCACTCTTAACAATAACAGCCATTTGCACATGCTCTGGGAGCTGCCAAACTCCTGACCTCCAACAGTATTCTGATTTTGTCCTGTAACGTCTGCATAGCTGAATAAAAACCTTTCTAGTAAGGGAAGAGTGATAAATGCAGAAATAGAAGACGGATGGTGGAACAGAAGAAGAAGTGGACCGAGTGTCCCATCTTGTTGCCTTCATCGATAAATAAATGGACCTCTAACAGTATTCTGAATGATATTCATAAAGTGATTGACAGAAGCTGTGATGGCATTATTTTTCGGTAGTCGGACATGTTTACTTGCCGTGCCCATCTCGTGCACAGTGTGTGTATGTGTTCAGCCGCTCTCATATTGTGAGCTATGTTATGAATGCACTGGTACATGTGCATTCTGATTGGTTCCAGTACTTGGTTTTAGCAAGTCTTTGGCAGATGCTGAAATGGCCTTACCTGCCCTGTCATTAGGGTGTAGAGATGCAATTTGTGCTGCTTTCTAATCCAGAAAGATGTTCCATGTGCCTGTTAGAAAAAAAGGCAAGAGCACAAGAAAGGAGGGGGTTGTCTTACTGAAATGGAAAGCATTACGTAAAGTGTCTGAAACTGATACATACTTGTACCTCTTTGCCCTTTGTTAAATGAAACACAGAGTTGCACTTGTCAGTTGGTAGGGGATGCCAATGGGATGTGACTACAGAAGAATGAAAGAGCCACAACAATAGTGGTTTACTCCCTCTTCACTAAATGACTTACTATTTTTGTTTGTAATTTCAGCTTTTTGTATGTTTTTGTAACACCCTGGAGACCCGAAAGGAATGACAGTGGAAGGGTGAGAGAGGATTCTTAAACTAAATGTTAATGAATTTCAGAAAGTGTCATAAAAAGAGCCAGTGTCAGATTTGACTGTGATACATCTGAACACTTCAGAAGCCAAACACCTCTTCTCACAGTAAACTCCCATCATGGGCATACACCTCATTTGCAACACCATCACAGTTTCACAACAACACTTATCACCTGGCCATGTAAGAGCAACACATTACAGAAAAACACCCACAAAGTCATACTTTTCTTTCAGTACATGATCCTCATGCTATTTTGCTGCGGTCACATCTTCATGAAACCAGTTACTGCTCCTTGGTCATTATTACATTTCCCCACTGCATGAACTGCATGAACATTTGTCTCCATGTTCATTTCATAATGTTCTCATTAAATCACCCTCAGTTCCTGTGTGTGTAACTGCCAAAGACTCTTTTTCTACCAGAATAATAAATTATTATCATTATTATGACAATTTGTCCTGTTTTTTTATGCCTCCATGTCTTTGTATGAACATGCTCTGAACAGATGAACAACCACTCACATGCACTCCTACAAGCAATTTAGAGACACCAATCAACCTAAGCTGCATGTCTTTGGACTGTGGGAGGAAGCCAGAGTACCTGGAGACAACCCACGCAAGCACGGGGAGAACATGCAGACTCTGCACAGAAAGGTTGTGAGGCAACAGGGCTAACCACCACACCACCGTGCTGCCCTCAGTTGACTTTTATAGTTTGATTATTATAAGTCTGGTTATTGTTGTTTGCACATCTGTTTGAGTACACAACACTTTTCATCATGTTCTTCATGATGTACTGGCTAGATGAGGGTAACTTTGCTTTTGTCATTTTAGCCTTGTTCCATAATTGACAACATTCTCAGTCTTATTAAATTGTAACAAAAGGACTGGGGACTGTTCTGGTCAGAACCCAAGTTATTTTGCTGAGTGGCAGACATTTCTGCTGACTTGAATGAACCAGTAATGACCTTTACTTCCTCAAACTGTGTTTGACGTGCTGGTCACACTCTCTTCCAGGAATTCAAAAACAAATGTGCATTTTCTAACATTCATAGGATTTGATATTCAAAACACAAAACAGGAACAAGGTAAAGTAAATTTATTTACCTAGTCATTGATTGTAAACCCCATAAAAAACTAAAACATGTGAACTTGTTCTCATCCATAAAATCAAGAGTATGTTTGCATGTACTACTTTAGCAGCCATGAGTAAGCCAACTAAAAGAGTCATTTTTTCTATATATTAAATGTTAAAGCATGTTTTGGTTCGGTTTACTTCATTGACATACAACAAGCACTAAATAAATAAATGAAAAAATAAAATCATAAATGCGTTAATAAAATAAAAAAATAATGATGATAATGTATAAATAAACACATACAACTTTAATAATCAAAGGAATTATGTAAGAAAGACAAGGCAAAGTGGAACAGAGGGAAAAAAATCAAACAAAAATGGGAGTAAACTGGGGGAAATCTGGGGGACAAAAAACCTGGTCAGGTCCCTGCAGTCATCAAAAATAATGTCAGTGTTTGTATGTACTGGTTATGATTTAAGGCCAGGGTTTTCAACCAGTGGTCCACAGCTCCCTGACCATGTATTCAATAATCACAGTTTTTTATGTAAACACATTTCCATGTATTATTTATTGTTTGTGAATAATTCAGCCAGCACAGTGGCTCAGTGGTGACCCTGCTCTCCCTCTGACTCTTTGGACAGTTTACTAAAGCTTCCCTGAGACCAACTAACAGCTTTTCTCCATAGCCTCACCAAATTCCTCCCAGGCACAAGCTTTTGCATCTGCAGCCATTCGAGCTGCAGCCCCTTTGGCTTGCCGGTACCCATCAGCTGCTTCAGGAGACCCCTGAGCCAACCAGCCCCTGTAAATGGCAATATACCTATACAGTGGTTTTCTATGCATTGCAGCACACTCAAAGTGCTTTCACACTATTTCGCCATTCACCCATTTGCACTCACACATTCATGCACCAGTGACATCATCAGGAGCAACTAGGGGTTCAGCGTCTTGCTCAAGGACACTTCGACATGTGGACTGGGCAAGCCGTGAATTGAACCACTAATCTTCTGGTTAGGAGATGGCCCACTCTACCTCCTGACAGCTTCCTTCACCACTGTGTTTGCCAGTGGGTTCTCAGGTTGCCGTCACGACAGGCATCAAAGACTGTCTGGCCACAAGTCAGAATAGCTGCTTCTACAGTGGAGAGTTTGAACGTGGCACATTTGAATTCCATGTCCCCAGCCTCTCCCAGGATGTGACAGAAATTCTTCCTGAGGTGTGAGTTGAAGACCTCCTGAAGAGGGGCTTCAGCCCGGCGTTCCCAGCACACCCTCACTACACATTTGGGTTTGCCAGGTCTGTTCAGCAGCCTCCCCTGCCATCTGATCCAACTCACTGCCAGGTGGTGATCAGTTGACAGCTCCAAGAAACCCATATACTCTTAACTATTGTTTGGTGCATAGGCACAAACAACAGTCAGGGCGTTCTTCAGTGACTTCTATGTCACATAGGGGCAACCTTCTCATTCCAAGGGGAGAACTCCAACACAGCAGTGCTCAGCCTGGGGTTTGTGAGTATCCCCACACCTGCCCGATGCCTCTCACCCTGGGCAACTCCGGAAAAGGATAGAGTCCAAACCCTGGGAGTTTGGTTCCAGAGCCAGAACTATGTGTGGAGGTAAGCCCAGCTATATCTAGTTGGTATTGCTACACCTCCAGCACAAGCTCCAGCTCCTTCACCGCCAGAGATGTGATATTCTAGATTTGGCCTAGGCAGCCAGAGATCAACACGCCCAGGTACCTGACCTAGCCTGCTGCCCAACCTGCACTGCACACGACCCCAAATCTTTTCCCTGCAGGTGGTGGGTCCACAAGGCAGTGGCACCATGTCATTCTTTTGGGCTGTGCCTGACCAGGCCCCATGTCTGCCTTCTCATGGGGAAGCGAGAGAGGGAAAAAAGGCTGGGCACAGAAACGCAATTCTAAGTGACTGGTGGAGAAAGATAAAAGATGAAGGTGCTGGCTTCAGGCTAGGCTGCTAGAGATATGAGCGGTGGCTCTGCTGGAGACCTGCAGCAGAGGAGCGATGCGTAGCTCAGAGGTGACTGCTGGGATGAGCAGCGGAGAACCGGCCCAGGCGAGATGGTGCCGGTGTACAGGGTGACAGCTGAGACTGGGGCTAGTGCTGGGGGAAAGTAGCTATAGCGTAATCGGAGAAGCCGCAGACTGGCTAGGACTAGGTCCTCCACAGGAAAAATGCACAGAGGGCAAGTGCAGAAACAACCACAGTCTTACTTGAGATCATGTGGACGATCGCAGATCGGAGACTGTGGGTCACATACACACATGGCGTTTGACAATGAACCGGCAGAGAACGAGCGTCCACCAGTGGTTTAAACAGAGACGCTGGTGACCAGTGAAATACGCCACAGCCGTGAGTCGTACCAGGGCCCTATATCTGAGGAGAGAGAGGGAGAAAAGAGAGCGAGAGAGGCAGGTAGTGCCGAGCAAACTCCCAGGATCACTGGGACACACAAACCTCTCCACCATGTTAAGATGGCGAGAGGAGAAGAACTTAACTTGAACGTTTTTGTTAATTCCAAATTTATTTATTTTTTACATTATCAGGTGTTCATAACACCTTTATAGCATTTTGATTGGATGTGATTTCCTTCTAAGAACACACCACAGTCTGCACTCACACCAACAGTGTTTTAAAATGGAAATAAACACTCAGTGAGCTCCATCTGCTTTGTGGACGACAAAGTGACACAGGGCGCAGGTGGTCGCTCTGCATGAGGTGCTTATTAAATAAAGGGCAATGAAAAGGGCTTTGCTCCTGTGTGAGGACAAACATGAAAAGCTAGTTCATCAGAGTGAGCAATCCTTCCTCAGGTAGAAATAAATCACCTCTTACCTCAGTAACAGACATAAAAACACAAAAAGCAATATCAGCGACATAAACCATGTATGGCCACAAGCAGAAATGCAATTACACTTGGCAGAAAAGGTTTTTTGCTTCAGTGTTCCCCAAGTAAATAAAAACAAAAACAACCATATGACATTAGGGCAGGGAGCACATTCAAGTCCACATAAAGATAGATGCAGCACTCAACTAATGAGGGAAACATTGTTTTAGGAGGTTTGCTTACAGCCACGTTGTTTTAAGACCCTCTTATTTAAGTGTCTGGGCTACAGATACAAACCCGTCTCTATCTGAGCTCCATATTAGTGACTGATTATTAGTGGATATCAGGTACAAATCAGATGAGCTCAAAAGCAGGTTTGAGCTCACTAGAGTATTTTTGTCCTATAGGCCAAGACAATTTCACATACTGTATATTGACTGCTAACAAATGGCCTAATGTTTTACATTCCAGTATCGTCAACCATAATCAAGAATGCCAAAATTGTGTATTATTTCAGTTGTTTGGATTATATAAATCTGTGATCAAGGCTGTATGTATGCTGAATGTGGAGTCGTGGTGGTGGTTGTGTTGCTCTAAGTCAGACTGCACCAACTTTGTCGTACACAAGGGGATGTGCTGCTGCAGCTGCTTTTAATCCTTTAGAGCATTTGAGTGGGACACCAGACTGTTTATGTAGTCCTCTGAAAAAGAGCTGGCACAAGTGTGTTTGTGTGAATACGTCAAGGGGCAGGAGGCCGAGTGCAGCTTATGATCTTTCTGCCTGTGTCCCCCACAATTCAATGTGGTGGCAGACAGTGAGTGGAGGCCGAGACAGACCAGAGTCTTTGAACCAATTTAATTAAAGCACTTAATTTGATCCAAATCTCTCCCTCCCACAAACACACATACACACAAGGCAATTAAAGACCAATTTACACATCAGCCAGTTATTCACCAGAGCTTTTCTTGGATCTGTCTGGTGCAGCCCTGTGAGGCCTTTCTTCACTGTGTACCAGGACTGTGGTGGGTGAAAAATCAGGGACTGAATAAAACAGCACACAAAGATACCTGGATGGACAACGCACGTTCTAAAAACAGAGCAGAAGAACTGTATTAATTATCAATAACTGTTCATAGTTTATTCATTTCTTATTCTCTTGAATTTTAGGGAAAAAAAACTTCTTTTTTTTTTAAATCAAAAAATTTGTCAGTATAATGAGCAACAATGTGCAATGACAAAGCTGATACACAGCTGTGTTACACCCGAGATCCAAACAAGCCTGAGATAAATAGAAAACAGTTTCCTTTTAAAACAAAAGCTTTGTCTCGAGCTTGAAGCTCCTCTGGCATTGTTCTTTTATCATCCCACACCCTTTTCTAAACATATCCCAACACACACAGCTTTAGTGTACTGCTGAGTTGTATCCCTCCACAGCTGATGAATTATAAACAGCTTGAAAAAATAAACACCCCAAACTTGGTTAATTTATAATATTTAAACTCTATTGCATATGTGAAACCAGATGTAATATGATAAAACATTATTTAGTGATATGACACTTATACATTTCATTTGCATCCAAAGGAATAGTGGAAGAAAATCAAAGCATACAGATAAAAAAAAAAAAAAATCTAATTAAAAATGCCTTTGGTTGCAAAGACACAAACCTAAACAGCAGGTAAAATAAACAAAAACAAGACTTTGGTTCATACATCAACAAGAAAATCCTGACTCCTTCTTAAAGCCCATCAAACGGAAGAGTCTTAACTTTCAATTAAGAACTTGAACACTGCAACACTGAGGTTCAAAAGATGCAGGGACTCTCACAAAGGCAGTGAAAAAAGGGATTATGATTTACCCCATTAGTCAACCCAAAACAACGTCAACAGGGCAACCAGCTCACATCATGTTGTACCAGTTTTTGTACTGTCACAGAAAAGAAAAAGATGACACCTGCAGCAAAATGAGCCAATTAATTTGCAATATTTCCTCAAATAATCAGCACAAAAAAAAACAACAAAACAGGGGCAGCTCATCATTTTTGATTTTCCTGTCTTACAGCCATAGCAGCAGAAATTAGAACTAGAAATTGTACTTTTGAAATATTAGCTTTGTGTAGTAAAAACCATAGTGTTACCAAGAAGTCAATGGCAAAACAGAGACAAGATGTTCTACAATTTCATACAGCTTATCTACCTCTGCCTGACAATATAATTTAAAAGAGTGGTGGAAAAGTAGTGTTTTGTAGGACGATAAATAGCAAACACTGATCTCTTTTCCTACTTTGGTAAAGCTGTAAAACAACCAATGAACTATACTGCTTTGCTATAAAGCATCTTTGTGCTTATCCAGTTAAAGGTAGGAACAACAGTTAATAATGTGAAGCTCATGAGTAAATGATGAGTAAGACAGCCATCAGACATAAAAGAAAAACCCAAAGACATGGAGACAGAAACAGGCTGGAGGGAGAAAAACAGGACCTGTTTAATTTTAGTGTTGCTTCTCTTGTTCCAGACACTGAGCAAAACAGGAACGCACAGCTGTGATCTGCTGGTGTGCGAGACAAAAACAAGACTAGGAACCTACAACAAATGGATGGGGCTAACACAACAGACTGTCACAGGCATTCCACTAAATGAAGGAGTGTTCTGAGGCTCTGGAACATCAGCTGTTCTTCAGCTGATCCAGCGCCATCACTGGGACGTAAATGTGTTGCAAATAGCAAGATAAATTAACTGCAGCAAATAATAATAATAATAATAATAATAATACTAACACCTTGTTAGGGCTCACTAAACTCAAGGTTTGGTCTGTACTCCCTTACGGAGTGTGATTCACGATTCATTACTGGTTAAATTTCAAAATAAAAAAGTCCTCACCCTGGATCAATGTGATTTCAGAAGGTTTTGCTATAAATGATCTGAGGCGATTTAGCCAACTGCATATAAAACAACACGCATTCATACCAATGTCTAAACAAGGGTCACCTGAGCAAAATGTTCAGTACAGTGAAAATCAAACACACTCAAAATGCATCTATATTCATTAATGTCATTTCCTGCCAAGAATACAGAGGGGTTCGTTTTTTTTAATCCACCCCCCAGTCTACATACACGAGGGACATTAGAAACACTTTCCAGTGTAATGCAGTTCAACACAACACCACCAAATAAACCCTTGTGAAACAGGATTTACTGGATGGCTTTTCTATTGGATTGCATTAGATTGTACAGGTGCTAATAAAACTAATTCACTGTGGAGAACATAATCACACACCTGTTTGTGAGAAGCCCAAAATATTCCCCACTAGACATCAGAGGGTGGAATATCCACCATGCTTCACCACAGTCCATTTAACTTGGGTTAACAGGTTAGTTACACACAAACTCTACGATCAGGCTGAAAACTTTCCACAGCGTACATGATAATTTATCAGTTTGTTGTACTGTTAACTCACCCTCTCTATTTAATTTCAACACAAATTATCACTGCACAGTGACATGACACATGGCAACTGTACTGTTAAAAAAAGAGGAGTCTTTCGCTCTCACGCATATCTGATATACACTGTCCTTTCCTCTGTGTCGTATCGATCCATGGTCCGTTAAAGGCATCCTGGGCCCAGAGAACAGAGCACTATACAGTATGTGAAACCTTACACCTCTGGAAGTTGCAGTAAGCCAAGGACTGTTCAGACAACTCTTGGATTTCCATCAGAGAGGAAACATGGTAATGATGACACTGATAATGAGTGTAGTGACTTTGATCAGGCATGTTGTATCACCAGCTCCTGCCCTATGAAGCGACGCAGGCGCTCCAGATACTGGCTGTACAATTCAATGTCGTTGTGTCCTGCTCCCTCCACCCAGAGAGGCTCCACAGCCTTGGGGCAGCGCTCAAACAGAGCCAGGCCATGGGAGAAGTCGATCACCTCGTCTTCCGTCCCATGGATGATGAGCACCGGAGATGTGATTTTGGACACTTTCTCAATGCTAAATGGGGAAAAGGTGGAATACAGTTTTAGAGATACCAAAGAGCTGCCTGTCCATATTAGTTCCCCAGAGCTCTGAAAACAGACTGCACAAGGCACTTCAATAGTCATGGAAAATTGGAATCATAAAGCCACTGCCATAAAAAGTGACACCCTAATGGGTCTGTGCTGCTCTGGGAAAAAAAGGTCAGTAAAACATCTTCTCATAGATGAAATAAAAATATCTAAAAGGACTGGAGGAGCTCCATTGCTGTCTGGACTGCAACACTCAATAAAACATTTTACTGCTTTACAAGCAGCTAAATATTTTAGTGTCATTATATTTGTTTTGCAAAAACAGCATCGCATGTAGCAGCCCAGTGATAAATAAGGGTTTTATTGCCTGGGTGCATATAAATGCTAATGCTGGCCCACCTATCGCTGCAGCACAAATGTGAAGCTCTGTACTGTCTACAAGGACAAACATGAACAATGGGATTTGCTGAGTGATTGTGTTGACTGAAATGAACATGTCAAATAATAATATGGCCCAATTTAATTTGTTAAATTATTTATAGCAATTAATCAATAATCAATGAAAATATGTACACACTGTTGCAGTTGTGTTGATGAACACTGGGGAATGAAGTTTCTACTGAATTGCTGTCTAGTGCCTGCATTAGCGCAGAGTCACAGAGTCGAGAGCACCGCATGCTTCCCACAGAATCAACATGAAAGTTGGGGGGGGTTATAGATCACATTAGTAGTAAAAACTGTTTTAACATGAATATATCTATCTCAAATGAATGATTAAGTGATAATTGATTAATGTGGCTGAAAACCAATAAAGAAAACTGCTCAAAATGTGCATCCCTAATTTAGACACATTTTACAAAGACAAAAGTGGAGAAAGATACAGACTGACAGAGAGAAAGATAAGAGTGCTAGCTGCCCCCTCTGAATATGAACAGGTGAACACCAGAGACTTTCTCAGCTCAGTACACACACATTAAGGCATCCCCCTGGTTTCCTACCACCTCTGCTCCTCACCCACTTGTACCATCTGGGACTAGACTCTGCACTGAAAACTAAACTAACAACAAGAACAGAAGGGATAGAGTCTGACTAATGATAGCATCACTCTGCCTTGCTATTGTCCAGTCAGGGGAATATTTTAAAATAAAACCAAAGAACACAGTAACAATACAATGAACACCTACAATCACGCACAAATGTGTGGCATCAAATCTCATCGGAGTAGGAGGTTCTCAGTGATCGCTAAGCATTAAAAGAAGCTCTGAAATGTTTACAGGGCCAAACAGTACTGACACATACACCCAGCCACCTGGATTCTGTTACAGGACTGTAATCATGGCCTCGTTGCTGTCATTAACAAACAATGTGTCTGTAGGTATTGGCATAGTCCAGGCTGCTGATGTTTAACTTCTTCCACCTCTCTCTATACTAATTCAGCCTTATTCAGGTCAAACAGCTAACACACTTCCTCCAATACTTTTTCCCTTTGCTAAAATTACTGTACCAATCTATGATGGCAGGTTCATAAACACTTGCATCAAATCTTTTTGGTTTTTCATGTTTCTGCATAATAAATGTGCTTCCTTGAGTGCTTCCCACTAGACAGAGTGTCTATTTTATACTGGGAACAGTAAAGATAAACTAAGACAGAAACAATGTCTGTTGCGTGTTTAAATTCGTTGTAGCAGACTAATAACACTGCAACTGTCGGCATGACTGGGAGTTTCAGTAAAGAGTGTAAAACTAATAATGTTAGAATTCTCACTTGGCCCAGATTCATTTCTTGTGGAAGTGTTTACTTATCAGTAAATAAAAAAAAAAAAACTCTGGACCCAAACTTTGCCCTTGCAGTGTTATTGCACTGAACAGGTCTATGCACTCATGCAAAAGGTTGTTAATGATACTCTTGGGTAATGTTGAAGTAAAAAAAATGACACTGCTATGGTCTTTAAATCCTGTTGACAATGACTGGATTGAACTAATAAATCAAGGGTTACATACTGTATATGATTATTAATGTTGCTGATAGAGTGTGATAACCATAAAACTTCCTTCTGTGCTAATGAAATTCTGTCCAGTAATATTAGAAAGAATTATTTAAGAAGGCTGGATTATATTGATGTTATATATGATGGTTATTAAATCAACTTCATCACGGCTGAGTTACTGATCTCCACATCTCTGTGGAAACTGACACAACGTGAGCTGCAGCTACACAGAAGAATAACCTGCTTGAAAAGGTGCCAGATGAAAATGACTGTTGCAGATCCTGATAGACAACACAGACCTCTGGTGTGAGAGTTCTTTGAAAGAGAACTTTTCTGTTGACAGATGTGCACATATGTGAAAATGCCAATATACAGGGTGGGCCATGCAAAAGTAACCCACCAAGATGAACAAGCAAGTGGATTGTTTTGGAGGCAGGCTACTTTTCCTTGGCCCACTCTGTATTATGTATACCATGTATTATTTGTATCTGAACAGTAACAATAAGATGAGGACCCAGCATTCAGGAGGGACATACTTGGGGAAAGCATCGAAGCAGTAGGTTTTCTTTGTCTCAGGAAAGGCCACTCTCATGCCAGATGTCAGAGGCGAGTGAAGGACCACAGCAGCACACTCGTACCGTGATGCCAGGTCCACAGTTGGAACTGTGCCAATGCTCTGTCCATACAGGATAATATTCTCTGGGGTAATGCCATACCTGGCAAAAGCAAAGAGACAGAGAAAAGCTTAGAATACAGGTTAAACAAAATAGAACTATGTAGGATGCCTGGCAAAAATTTACAGCAGCAAAATCTAAGAATAGTTCATTTCAATGACAGATGCGCCCAAATGTAAATTCACCTTAGCCAACTCTTAGTCAGTGCTTTGTAGTGTCATGTTTTCTCAGGGCTACAGCTGCTCAGCTTTCACTAATGAGACAGTTCATCAAACTGCAACATCCTTGAGACAACCCCCACCACACACCCCACCCAAGCCCCCTCTCTCCTCATCCATTTTATGCATCTTTATTCCCATGGCATCTGTGTTCAGTCTAGTCTACTCTCTGCATCCCAGCTCTGTCCTGATCACAGCCTCTGCCATCTTTATTAACCCCTTCTTCACATCTTTTTCCTCCTCAGTATAAACAGTGTGCCCTCTCTCAGCAGAGCAAGACAAAGTATAATAAATCAGAATGCATATGGGCCAATTAGATCATATCCTACCGTGTGCGCAGGGCGTGCCAGGCAGCATCTATGTCAGCATAGAGGTTCTTCTCAGAGGGCTTGCCAGTGCTGACACCATAGCCCGAGTAGTCATAGGAAAAGATGTTGCAGTTGATGCGAGTGCCGAGGCCAAAGTAGAAACTGCTCATCTGGCCCAGGTCAACTGCGTTTCCGTGGGAGAAAAGCACTGTAAATCTGAGAGGACACACATACAGTACGAGACAGGTTAGTAAATGGGCCATAGAGCTAGACCCAAAAGAGGTTTGTATGCCCAGCAAATACTTCTGTTACAGCTGGAAATAGACACATATATATGAAGCAGCAGGGTATCTACTACAAATGCTGGGTTTTCTAGCCCTGGCCTTTTATTCATGAATGCAGGTTGCGTACTCCAGAGAAATCTGATCTGCCCTCTGTTGTCTTGTTTATAATCCCATATGTCCTTTGCTCTTCACATCTCCACTCAAAATGTGGCATGACAATGACTTGGCCATGTCAGGTCGAGTTTGGATTCATTCTTGTGTAATTCTAGACAGCCATTAATATAAGATACATGGACTGTAACACAAGCCTGTCCATTTCTTTTTAATTGTTTTGGTGAATTAATCAGCAGCAGCACAGTGGAGATGGATGGGTGTCAAACTAAAGTTAAATAGTTGTACTTGTTATAAAATACTCTTTCAGTTCTTATGCCAGATGATATAATCACTTCCATCTATCAATCACTGACAATAAGATCAATGATACAAACCTACAGGAGGGAAAACCAGATGTGATGTTTTTTTAAAATTACTATTATTATCATAAAACTGAATTACCAAGCATGAGGGATTCAAGCTCCGTTAAAAGGGATGACAGTAATCCATGGAGAAGTAGGAAGAGAAAATCAGTCGAGTCGACAGAGTGACAAGGAATGGAAACAGAGCTGGATATGTGTGCAAGACATTTGACAAGAAAAAAGTCTGTGAAAAGGCATCTGAGGAAGAGTGACACAATGAATGAGAAAGATCAAGCAACCATTATCTCCTTGCTTGGGGTGCTCTCAGTATTTTTATCCATTTGTCTTCCTTCTGTAACCTGCTGGATGCCTGAGGATTCCCTCGGAATCAGTAATGTGTCCATCTATGAACAGTTGGATTACACCAATTAGATCTGTTGCCACACTAATTCAAAGGGTAGATAAACCTTTCAATCTACCTAAAATATAATTTATCACAATTTTGTGCCTTTTTAACAATTTCTATAGTTTACAGTCTGAAAGGGAAACATCCAGAACAGTATTTTTAAGATCCGTTCAAAGATTATCACAGTAGATGGATTCGAGCTGTCCATCTTTTCAATCCCCGTTTTTAATGCATTTATGCACAACCGCCTTATTGTTGTTAGTGATGTTTGTTATAACTCCATATTATAGTTATTTATTAATATATTTAGCACCAATTCTATATGGTTTTTAAAGGTTGTGTCCTTTGAATTTTATTAACTGTGTGAGCGCAATAATCTTTCTTTCCTATATACTTTGCCAGTATGTGTACACATCAGCTGATCAGGGCGGTGAGCTGTGGCACACTGCCCTTACAGGCATAAATATACATTAAAATGAATACCCACCTGGCATTAGGAACACAACGAATGTACATGCAGCCGACTCTGTTCCCTCGGCTGGATCGAGTGAGGAACACCTCTGTCATGTCCAGCTCTCTCTGTGAGTACTGAAACTCTGCTCGCTCTGTCAGGTGAAGCTTCCATCTCCCCTCCACAGCCCCAGCCCCTCCGCTTCCTGCAAATGATCCTCCGCTCTGTGACCGTAGGCTAGATGTCCCTGTTCCCCCTGGCACAGTTGGGCCTGCTTCTGTGTCTGGAAGAAAGGTGTATGTGGGCTCAGGGGGCAGGAAGGCAAGCTTGGCTGCTATGCGGCCAGGGCAGGGCGGACAGCAGAACAGGCAGCAGAGCTCACTGATAGAGAGACCATTCATCCTTCACTGTGAAGGAGGAGGACAAGAGAATCACTGTGCTAATAACTGCATATCATCCCAGTGTTAAAACAATGAGATACTTATTACAAAGCACTCAGTCTGTGGCAACAAAGGCAATAAAAACTTAAAAACTTTTTTTTTTTTTTTTTAAACATCAGCTCTGGACATACATAGATTATAAACAATCAGATACATATTATGCAATAAACATTGGGGAGACTACACCTTAGTAATATAATATCACTGATGATTTATCTGGTAATTCTATCAAATTAGAAGCAAATGAATTAGTCAATTAGACCACCACCAACAACAAAAACAACACTGGTAATCAACTAAACATTTCAGCAAATGTTCAAACAAAATTCACTGCTTTCAATCTCTCATATATTAGTATGTTACAGTTGTCTTATTCTTCTATGTTAGTAAACAGAACAAGACATTGAAAGACGTCCCCTTGGAATTTCTGATGGAATTTTTTAACTGTTTGCTGACATTTTTTAATAAAACAGTTACTCTAGAAAATAACCAGTAAATCAGCACTTATCTGTTAGATGCAAGCTAGATATTTTCTGGTTACAGCTGCACATATGTGAAGAGTTTCCCTTGTCATGTCATTAAAAATGGCCTATTTATCAAGCTAAAGCAACTGAGAGTTGAGGCTCTGGTAAGTCATGATGGCTGTTGCTATTTATTTTAGCATATATTAAGGCAAATAATTAATAGATGAGTCACCAATGAAAGTAATAGTTAAACACAGGGCTACGTGACATTCCTTCAAACCTAGAGTACAATCATATTACAAAAACAAAAGTAGACATACCTGTTGATATGAAGAGCTTGGCCTAAGCAAATATGGGCCGTGCTGAAACAAAAATAAAACAAAGAAGACCTTCTCCACCTCAGCCAAATTCAAACACGGGATACTGTTTGTTATGTGACGTCAGCAGGAGCAGGAAAAAGTAGTGGAGACTACCAGCTGTAGGAAAGTGTTATTTACCAAGCATCTGCTGTGTTTTCTGTGTGGTGAGTGAAGTCCACATCACATCCATTTTCTCCACTTGTTGAGATGTTTCTCAATGTGTCCTGGATATTTGAGGAAAAGAGTTTTTTTTCTTACTTGTGTTCACAGTTAGGAACATGTGTTTCTAATGCAGTCCCGACCAAAACAAACTCGGAAAACGCCTTACAATTACAATCAAACACGCAGTGCCGATACGAATAAGAGATTTATCGGGAATAACTGTGACCACGAGTAGCTTATCCAAAAGAGAAATCTATTCGTCTACGCGTATCACCTAACACTGCGCTGGTATAAGCTAGCAAGAAGACATAAACGATTACTCGGTAAAAACAACGTTCAGTCCGTCAGACGAAGTAAAATATCGTTAAAACAGTCTCCAGTTTGTGTGTTTATCTCTATAAATCCACTGTGGACGATACCACAAACTCCTCCGACTTTATAGCCAGTGTCTTGTCCTTTTGATTAATCCATATACGTGTGGTGTTTCCTACTTCTCTGCTGTTTTACCGCACCCGGAAGTGGCAGCTGACCGGATGTGACGCAATGAGTTTCCATTGGGCAATTAAGGGAAACGTGTTATCAGTGTGGGCGACAAAGTTGTAAAATATGTCATACTTGAACTTGATTGTTCATTTGCCCTTTTAAAGATAAATGGTAAATTACACGTGAATCATCACAATAATTTTGTACTGGTGACGCTATATTTGTAATCATTTTATCTTCTATGTGGCAGGAGTAGAGGGCCATACGTGTCTAAGCGCAGGGACCCGTTATACTCGGGTCATACCTAAACCCCTCCCATGCATAACACAAGACACTGTACAGAACAGTTTTCCTGTGAGTTGCTGAGGAAAAAGCTTTCCTGCTCAGGAATCACCCTTACTACTCATTATTACAGAGAAATGCACGTGTCAGTCATTCAGTTTGTTATATAGCCCACCCAAGGCCACAAGCAAGAGCCCACCTTGTTACAGGCCCAGCAAACACAGACATAAAGAGAGAAATAGAGGTGTTCTCATTTACTCAGGTTAATTAAACCTCTTCTGTCTTTATAGGGTCAGGTCATCCAAATTACATATCCAAATTATATTTTGTTTTTTACCTCAATTCTATCCAGCAAAACAGATAGTTCTGGTTTCATCGGACATACAGTCTCATCGGTTCATTTGTGGGGCTCACAGACCTCACTGTCACCTCTGTTTTCACAGGAACTACTGTATTATTTTTCAGTAGAAAGTAGTTCAACTTTGAATGGGTAACAGTGGGGAATGGGAATTGGGGATTATCCAAAACCTCTTAAAACCTGGGCAAATAAAACCTAAACTAACTACCACCAGAAGTAGGCAAGTGAGAAATCTGTGCATATGTTTTTTGTAACATGGGTAAACTCATCCATTAATCTATGCTGGGTCATTGCTGAAGTCAGAAAATTCTGGGCACTTAATCGAGTTCTTTCATTTTTACAGAGATTTTAATAGAACTTTTTACACCAGGCATTTTGATATGTAAAAGTGTTAAAAACCAAAGTACTGTATGTAATAACATTAATCATGGCTGCGTTCCAGGGACACTAAGCTATTGTTTATTAGTGTGTTCAAGTTAAAATGTCTGTTTTGTAAAATGTGTATGTAGCAGTGTGTTCAGGCCCCGAGGGAGCTAAGGGGTCATCTAATTAGGTCAGTTAAGTGAAAACACCTGTGTTGGTGGACCATGAGTCACTCATTAAAATGACCACAGAATAAATCAATCACACTATTAAAATTATATTGGAGAAAACTGACATAATGGGGTACACAAAGATATAAAATGAAACCATTTTCCGCATTATTTTATTAAAAAAAAACCTGCTGAAACGCCTGATTTAATGTTTAATATTTATATATGCACTAGTAACCACCTTTAACTCATGTGTTTAGTCTGACAGCACTGGCAGGATACTGCACTGATACGACTCTTTGTTGGCCCTTTTCTGTTTGTTCCCCTCTTTAAAACTGTATTCAAAGACTTTTAAGGTCTTTTTTGAAGAAATGTGGGATGACATAACTGTTTTTAGTAAGGCAAGCAATTATTTAAACAAAAAAAAAAAAATCTGTTAGAACTGATGAAGTAAAAAGAAAAACTTACAAAATCCTGCTATGTGAATGACAGAACACATACTTAATTCAGCACAGTAGACCTCATGACATTTCTTCTTGTACTGAAGCACATTACAGTGCTGTGCTGAATCTGAGACTACATTGATCAGCCATATCATTATGACCACTGGCAGGTGAAGTGAATAACACTGACTGTCTTGTTACAATGGCACCTGTCAGTGTGTGGGGTGTATTAGGCAGCAAATGAACATTCAGTCCTCAAAGTTAGTGTTGGAAGCAGGAAAAACTGACATGTGTAAGGATGTGAGTGACTTTGACAAGGATCAAACTGTGATGGTGAGATGACTGGGTCAGATCATCTCCCACACTGCAGGTCTTGGTGGGTGTTGTTGGTCTGCAGTGGTTAGTACCTACCAACAGTGTCTAAGGAAGGACAAATGGTGAACTGGTGACAGGGTCATGGACGCCCACGGCTCACTGATGATGAGGTTGTCCTACTGTAGATTAAACTTTTAACTTCCATTTGTACTTTTCAAAAGATTAACATTTATTTTAATCTTTGTTAAAATGGTTGAAAATGAGAAATACTGTCCATTGGTCTCTATGAAGAGAGAGAGTCAGGGGCTGTAGTGGTGATATCACACAGAGTGGTGAGGGTGTTGAATTTGTCTAAAAGATTCTCCATCTCGTCCTCACGACCACAGTTTTCACTCCTTTTACATAAGTTTCTCACTGAATTGTAGACACATCTATGCTCTTCCTGACAGTAGAACTGTGGAAGCAAATGGATTCACAGAAGATGCACAGTGAGCTGCAGAGTGACACGAGTGACAGCCAACTGCCACATTGACTCCTATGTAAACAGTATTAGGCAGGTGGTCATAATGTTATGCCTGATCGGTGTATAAAAGTACAAAGCAGAGGGGCAACAGTATACAAATTTACTGATCTAGCAAAGCAAAGGAACTGAATGCTTGTAAATAGAGATGAATTAAATTGTTTCACTGAACACTAAATAATGCATTTAGAAGACTACAGAGTGAAACAAATATTAAAGACAAGTGTAATTTAAAATAAACTTTGTGATTTTATTGTTTTATACTTACTCTTACACATCATACAATCCTAAATCTTTAAAGAAAAACAAAATAAGATATCTGGTGGTGTTTCTGGGGGACTGGAGTGCCAAGGGACAAGAACTACTGCTCTGTGAACATTGTAAATTTCATTTGATGTTCTTCAAGCTCATCTCAAAAGACAATGAATAATCTTCATTAGTCTTTACTTCTAAAGTTAACGGAATCACCATAAATGGCAGGTTTATCATTTTTATCAATCAAAACCCTTGTATGATGAAGATATTGTTTAAGAGAGGCTGTACTAAAGACAGGCCTGAAGACATCAATACTCTATCAAAACAACAAAACAGAAGGAAGAAAAATGTATATGAACTGACAATATCTAGAATACTTAGGTGTGGTTGCCCTAAATGCTGGCACCAAGTCCTTCATCACAAACAGTCCAAACTACTTCAGTTGTCCAACTCTCCCAAATCATGCAAGAAAACTGGGCCTCCATCCTCTGACATAGTCAGCACTAGGGCCAAGCAGTTTGATAAATGACCTTTCAGCTTATTGCATGATTTACATTCAAACTACTCACATTTATTAAGGAAAAATAGCAGGCATGGCATGGGCAGTCACTAGAAAACAGTGTAAACCATGAAATCCACATGATTTACACAACTGAACAATCACCTGAAAACGAGCTTTTTCTCTGAAAGGACTGTCAATCTGTAGAGAGAGAGACAACATTTTGTTGGCAACAATATTTTCCAAATGGTCACCAACCCAGCAGGCAAGTCTCATTATTATGAATACACTGGTTTACACTTCTCTGCTTCCAAATTGAAATGTATTGATTTTTATGGATGTTGAGGTGCTGACATCAAATATGACTTTTGAAAGAGGTGACTGGCTATAGCTTGTAAGACAGGCACTTATCTTTTAAATGATGGACAAGTAAAGACAATGGCATCTTTTGACTTCAACAGAGAATATGGACTGATGCATACAACCAAGAGTCTGTATAAGTGCCTTAGTTAAATGAAAAATGTGTGGCTTGTCATGCCTGAGATACAGTATCAGTGTAAAGTTTCACCCAAGAACCTTGTTGTACCACAAACAAGAAGTTTTGTCATTAGATCCCCCAAGAGTTTTGGTTACAATTTCTGGTTCTGCTCAGAGATCTTTCCTTCTGTCATGTGACAAAGTTCAGTCATTTTTAAGCAAAATTCACACCCTGCCAGTGCCACATCTTACAAACCAGAGCCAGTCAACATTTTCAGAATTAGCAAAGATTGATTACTTTTGTTTTGGAAGCATTGTGGTTGAGGACTAGTGAAATACAACATACACCATAGGGAACACAGAACTACACCAACCACGTTTCCCTAAATAAAAACAATTATTCTACTAGTACATAATCATCACTCAAGAATCCCCATAAACTCCTTCTGAAATTAGAATTTCCAAATGAAGGAAATACTTAAATCACAGTCCAAGTTTCAGATGAACCTTCTTATCCCAGGTCAACAGTCCCCATGTTGACATGATAAACTGCAAAGTCAATTAGACTAGTCCATCATCAATACTAAGACTTAAACATGAGTTGTGATGAAGACCAAGTTTCCCAGCAAAGGAGCCAGAACAAAATTCAACAAGGCCCAACATGATATTTGTGTATACAAAGAAGAAACTAATTCATGTCCAATGCATTCTGTATCGGCTTATTTAGAAAATGCATACACTTCCATAAATATTTGATGATCAAGATCAAGCAACATTTACAAGGAAAGCTTTTGATAATGAAAAGCTGAAACCTGAATTTCCCCTTCACATTTCACAAGGGGCCTTTTTAACGTTCAATATCGCTATGCTATGAATAGATCAGTAACCAGATAAAAGCATGGACTGGAATACTGTGTACTTCACAGAGGTTAACAAATGTTATAAGAGCTTCTTAATAATTTGACTAGAATTGTAAAACAGAAGCCACACGTGGCCCATAGAGAAACTCATGGTAGAACCTGTTAAGAAACATACTCTGGACATTACATGGGCAGATGATGTGGTAAATAAGATGGAGGGGAAAATACTGTGCCATTTGTGGCACTTTTTTTTTTGGGATAATTATTAAAAGCACTTTTATACACATAGTACTATGCGTCACCTTAGTCCCCCACTTTTATTATGTGGCAAAGATCTACAATAAGATTATATTATATGAATAGGAGCCATATGGTATTTACATTTGGGGAAAACACAGTAGAGTCCTGTTAAAGTGAATCTCGAAGTTCTGGCCATGCATTGTGCTACTGTTGTGTGGCTTTTTAAACATTCCAGCTTCATTTCAAACTGTGCAGCCAGTTACAAAACAGTAACTTATATGTTTGTCTGCACACATGCATGTAAGTTTGATGTTCCTACAAGAAGCTAGCTAGAAGTAAGGATTCGGCTGAATTGGAGCATGTTGTAACAGCACAGCACAGCACAGCAGCATTGCAATGGCCTTTATTTTGAATGAGAACAAGGTGTGTCAATATGCAGATTAACTGTGACCCAGGTCAGTTTTCATTCAGCATGTGTTAGTGGTCTGCTGGTGGTTAGATAAACATGGAGCTTCACTCTGACTCCATGGAAAAGAGCATTCAAGGAGAACACACTGCCTTACACAAAGTTTCATTAAGTGAACAGACATTTCAAGAAACCTGCTGTACAGATCAAATATAAACTGAATGACCCAAATGCTGAATAAAACTAAATAGGCATAGCACATCAACTTGTACTTTGTAGCTGACACTGTTAAATTGTGCTTGGCTTCCAAATCCAAAATAACGTACATTTTACTGCATGTCTTAATTGTAACAGCTTAACTGGACTCTACTCCATCACCTCAGATCTTGTGTATTTTTTTCTTCAAAAGGTTACATAATTAAGATGGAATTACTTAAATTGAAAAGGGTAAGTTCAAATCTTAATGATTTGCTGACACATGCCGCCAATCCTCCAGCACAGACCAACCAAACGATAAAAATAAATAGAATGCAATCACACAATTCAAGCTAACTACAATATATTAATATAGATCTTCTGTCATACACTCATTAAAACAAAAAGAAGAAAAAAAAAAAAAAAGAATTCAATCACTCAGTTAAGTCAAGATTCTCAGCTTCCCCTACTCTGTCCCGTCCCGTCCCGTCCCGCCCTGCCCCCCCAGGGTAATAATTGTTCATGCACCCAATATCAGAATGAGAAGTTAATATATCAAAGAGAAACATTTCTGGAAAATGCTGAAACTTGGGAGTTCAACACGTGGTAAGTAAAGGTAAGAGGAGGTGGAAGGGGTAAAAATGCCAATTTGACAATTAGATGACATCATTTAAATTCTGGGAGGAAAAAAAAACTCTATTTCAAAGCCCTTAAAAGGTCTTGCTGATACATTAACTTTCCCAGTTAAGTTTGTAAAAACTCCCAAGGCCTTCTAAACCTGTGTGTCCTTATCCAGGCTGTGACACCTTCCTTTACCCCTGACTCATTTCAACTACTTTACAGGGATTGTATAAAAATAAACCCACATGATTCCCCAAGTTGAGAAACAAAAAGGGGGAAAATCAAATTCCTTCCCTCTTCACTGCAACACTTACATTCACCAAGCCCCTACGGCTGTCTCCCCAACTCTCAAGCAAATGTGCACACACACACTTTCATACAGATACACACACACACAGGTTCAGCCACAGTCACTAGTGGAGAGAGGGAGATGATAGTAAGGGAAGTGTCTGGACAGTGGCTGTGACCTCACCACCCCAACCCACCCATCTTGGATTACCATGAACAAATGAAGCCATGATAACAGGTATTTTCATTGAGTCACCATTGTTCAAATTCACAAAGTCAGAGAGACTTTTTTTGTACTCAGTCCTCATAATTTCTGAATTTTCTCAGCTACCACGATGGGGTTCTCCTTGCGTATGCGGGCAGCAGCTGCACTCCGGTAATCATAGGGACAATCGTGTTTGTCAGAATAACGGTGAATGGCACAGAAGAGGTTGCCACAGCGACAGTCAAAGCCTTTAGTAAAGAGAAGCAGACATGATCAGTCAGTTAAGCTCCACTATAGGCAGCATTACACGATAAACTAATTCTCATATAAAAAAGTGTTGCTGCACCAACCTGTATGACTTCAAAGCATAAAATCTGTTGTACTTTTAAGCACACCAAACATCAATGTCTCAGTAAATTTGTACTTCAACTGCCTTTAAACTAGGCAGATTTAATATTACTACAAATACTCTACAGCAAACAGTCCCTGAAAAAGAGTAAAATATTCCCTGAGGGTGCTGCTGTAATCAGGCTGTGTTCAGGCTAAATTTCACATGCACACTGAGGATTTTGGTCAGGGTTAGGCCCAAATACTACTTTAATATCCTTACTTTACTATCCAATATTAAAAAGTTTTATTTTGCCAGGGTATTTCGTCCTTTAGAATTATGAAAAAGACTTCTGCTCAATATGAATTTAAAAATGGCCAATGGTTTACTGTGACACAGTGCCACACAAACACTGGGACAAGGCATTGGAAAACAAAAGAGGTTATTTAAAACTACACTGATAGTGTTAAAACTGCCCAGGATTTCAAACTGACAGGTTATGACTGTCCGGTAAAGGGTGTAAAATCTCAGCAAGGGAGATTCATGACTCATAACCTTTGGACCATACCAACAGCTATGAAGAACTCACAGTTCAGTGTGTAGGTAGATAGGTAGGACTTTATTGATCCCACAATTGGGAAATTCCTGTGTCCCATGTATGTACAGTGTGTACGGAAAGTATTCAGACCCCCTTAAATTTTCCACTCTTTGTTATATTGCAGCCATATGCTAAAATCATTTAAGTTCATTTTTTTCCTCATTAATGTACACACAGCACCCCATATTGACAGAAAAACACAGAATTTTTGACATTTTTGCAGATTTATTAAAAAAGAAAAACTGAAATATCACATGGTCATAAGTATTCAGACCCTTTGCTCAGTATTTAGTAGAAACACCCTTTTGAGCTAATACAGCCATGAGTCTTTTTAGGAATGATGCAACAAGTTTTTCACACCTGCATTTGGGGATCCTCTGCCATTCCTCCTTGCAGATCCTCTCCAGTTCTGTCAGGTTGGATGGTAAACGTGGGTGGACAGCCATTTTCAGGTCTCTCCAGAGATGCTCAATTGGGTTTAAATCAGGGCTCTGGCTGGGCCATTCAAGAACAGTCACAGAGTTGTTGTGAAGCCACTCCTTCGTTATTTTAGCTGTGTGCTTAGAGTCATTGTCTTGTTGGAAGGTGAACCTTCAGCCCAGTCTGAGGTCCTGAGCACTCTGGAGAAGGTTTTCGTCCAAGATATCCCTGTACTTGGCCGCATTCATCCTTCCCTCGATTGCAACCAGTCGTCCGGTCCCTGCAGCTGAAAAACACCCCCATAGCATGATGCTGCCACCACCATGCTTCACTGTTGGGACTGTATTGGACAGGTGATGAGCAGTGCCTGGTTTTCTCCACACATACCGCTTAGAATTAAGGCCAAAAAGTTCTATCTTGGTCTCATCAGACCAGAGAATCTTATTTCTCACCATCTTGGAGTCCTTCAGGTGTTTTTTAGCAAACTCCAGGC